TACTGATGATTTGGAGAATACAAATGATAATAGAGTACGTATTCATACCAAGGCATTCACTTTAATTAATTATTTATTATTTAGCAAAAATGTATATTTTTTTGTGTTCTAGAATAATTCAAAAAAACCATCTCAACATCGCGTTGATATGGGTGCAACTCATTTTAAAGAATTTCACGATATTCGATATCGATTCGAGCAAATGACTAATGGAAACGTTCGACGTTATACATCGGAAAATAATTTAAGCGATATTGGGGAGTCGACAACAGGGACGAACAATAGTGGTCGATCGAAAAAAGATGCACAGAATATTAAACAACGTCGTACAAACAATGTCACTGATGCTACTAGTACGACGACAACATCAACATCGACCACGGATACCCCGTCGTGGAAAAAACTATCACCACATGCGCGTTTATCAGCATTATTAGATAAAACAGGTAGTCGTGTGGAAAATAACAGTATACCGTTAGTCGATGGTGGCTTACGTCGTAATCGAAATAATTTATTATCACAAGGGAATAGTGCAAGTCTAATCGATTTGAGTTCGATTGATAAACAGAATTCATCTTTCATGCAATCATTCGAACAACGACCACGCTTTCGTTTTGTTCCACCAACCGGAGAAAACTCAATTCTTCAAGAAGAACCAGAACCACCACTAAACGAATTGCAGCGTACAACAACGAATAGTGATCGTTCGAACAATGATAAAACAAGACTGTTTGTTACAACAACAGCAACGACAACAGCTACAACCCCCGTAAAAAATTCAAATTTGAACAGTAATAATAATGGGCGCCCGATTAATCGACAAGCGACAACATATGATAATATAACCCATCAGACGAATAATTTACCATCAACTGTTACAAATGGTCTAAATGGAACGGCTACATCATCATCTTTATCTTCGTCACCACATAGTAGCAAGGCATTAACCTCAGAAACAATGTCACCACGTATTACATCACCAAGTCAAAGTATGTAATCACTATAAGCCTGAATTGCAATATAAAAATAGTGAGAGATTCTTGGTTGGAGTATCCGATGAGACTATCGCATAATACTATATTAAAATGTTTTGTGTATTGTTTGATAGTATTATAAGTCCATGCTCGGAGATTTTATACAGTTTGTATCAACTTATGCGCGGCTTTCTTCACGTAAACTGAAATCTTAGTAAGTGAATGACTTATTACGAAATATCGACAGGAGACCCTCTGATTGACATCTTCAAATTGTTGTATTTGTGAAATCCATTGTGGATCACTTTTCGAATAGAAGCGAGAATGTACATTTGAAAGATTTGTGTATGAAGATAGAATTTCTTTATAGTCTGCTTGAAGAAACTACTACTTTGTTTAGTACGCTGTCATGGTTTATTCCAAACTAGGTTGTTTAGCTTAATTCGAAAATGTAATACCATGAAAACAAAACAAAATATTCAGATCGGTGATGGATTAGAATGAATTTCGTACTATTTTTCGAATGGTATATGTTCCACTCAGATTGATTGCGAGCAAAAGATGTAGTATCCCCATATGGGAAAATCGTCTAGCGTTTCTGGCAGCATCGCCTTAGCATTTCTCGCATATTCTGTCAATATTTCGTAACAATTATACCGTGATCTTTGACACTACTCATGAATCTTTCACTTACTAGGTTTTCAGTTTATGTGATGCTGTTCCACACTCCATAAAATCACTCTGCACAGGTCTGGTACCATTTACTTGATGTTTCTTTTATTGTGTACTGCGAACGTCACTTAAGAGAAAATTTTAACTTTTTTAAATGAAAACTACGTAGTATCAATAATGACTGGCATACTCTCTTTCACATTATAGGCGCATTGAATTCGATTAACTCCATAGATCAGTCTACAACTGCTCAAAATGGATCTCACGTTCCTCATACTACGAATAACAACAATCATCCTCCTCCGATTAAATCCACTCTATTTAATCATCAACATGAAAACAATAATAGTGCTTTCAAACCTCATCAACCAGCTTCTGATCTCCATCAACAACGGCAAATGTATCCAAATCAACATCAAGCATCAGCAATTCGATCAATGAAATCGCCACAGATAACTCACAATGGATTTTACAACAACAATCATCGTTCGCCAAATGAACAGCAATCTCATTCACGTCCAACTGTTTCTGCACAAAATGTAATACAGCATCCATCACTGGCAAATGGTAAAATTGAACAATCGTTAAATCGAACGAATTTACAGCCTGTGAAACGAACAGAATCCATGCATAAACCAGGCGTTCATGTTGGTATTACCAATCCAACGCCAAATTCGAATCCAAATGGGCTTATTGTTCGACAACCTAATTGGCATCAGTCAATGTTGAATTTAAGTACTACTGATTACGATCATAATAATAGTGTAACAACACCTGCCACAGCCCTTTTTAGTTCGCGAGGTTCATTACAATCAGCACAACCACCTTCAAATTATACAAATCACCCAGCATTTGTCTCAAAAACAAATGGACAAAATAATAATGTACCACCGCAATCACACGACAATCGTCAGAAAATCCTACAGAGAAAACCCACAGACGATCCATTACTCCAATGGATTCATCAATTAGATGGGCGTCAACAAAAACAGAATGGTCATGTTACTCAACAACACTATTCTCATCAGCAGCAATTTTATCAGTCATCGAATCAAGCAGCAGCCTATCCATCATCATCGTATGGACTCTATATTGCAGCAGGAGCAGGTATGAATAGATCATATCACCAAGCAATTCTAATGTTTAATTCTCCCCTACTTTATTAAGGAATACCAATGTTAAATGGTTCTGATTATTCTCATCAATATTTGAACAATATTAATATGATTAAACAGTATCCGCCACAACGATCTAATCCCGTGCAATCGTATCATTCTTCATCACAACAGCAACAACAACAGCAGCAGCAGCAGCAGCAACAACAACAACAACAACAACAACAACAACAACAACAACAATTGTTAAGAAATAATAATCCTATTTCTTATGGGGAAAACGTCTATCATTTTACGAATAATAATAATAATTCACAACAGGCAAGTTATCGATGACGTATTGTAGGTTTTATTATTGCTCATTTGCTATTACTATTGTAGTTATCATCAAAAGTGAATCATCCTGTTCCAACAGCCCCTATGAAAAATATACAACGAAATGACCTGACAGTGACAACATATTTATAAATCTCATTTTCAGTGGTGTTTTTTTATGGTTTTTTTACACTACATTTTAGAAATTTTATTTCGACATGCTTTACGTGTAAAACAAAAGAGAAAGAACTACTGTTTAGGATAGTCTTGTTTCTACGTAAACTATTGCGAAAAATCTCTTTTTTTTGCTAAAATACTCCACTTTTTTATGTTAAATTTCTAATTTTTCTACATGTTTTACTGTTATTTTTAAATCAACTTATAAAATGTCTTTCCGTTTTTTTTTACTTTTTATTCTTTGTTATTTAAATGAGCACTTTTTGGTGTGTCTGTGTGTGTGTATTTGATATAATAAAAAAAAAATTTGAAAAAACGATTGCAGCTATTATTTTCTCGTTATTCGTCGTTGTTTTTCTATGTTCATTCTTTTTTTTGTACATTCGAACTATTTTTTTTTTATTGTATATTTTCTTAATTATCTAAGAAATCTGCTCAAAACAAAGTTTCACTATTTAAGCTGAGATTAGCTTGAATTATAATATATCGCTCAATTACACATTTGAATGGAGAAAAACAAGATTAATTTACACTATTTTTTAAATATTATGATATTAAATTCTAGTCAAATCATTTGACATTCTAATTCAGTAGTGTTATATACAAAGTCACCTATTCATCTTTTATCGCCTATAATGAGGTAAATCATAGCTATTAGATATGTAATTTATCATAGAGAAACGTCAAATTTTTATATGCTTTATTCTGAATGAGTCACCACTTAACTTTACAGTCCCTAAATATAGTCGGTTTATCAAGTGTACTTGAGAGATAATATATAGTTAGATTATACGATTGATTTGATTGAGAACTCGATTATTGAAACAGTTTCATAAATCTTGTTCTTGCTAGACGATATGCATTTGTTGACAGATCATCGGTTGATAAATTATTCGTTTGCAATGGATCTCCACCTTGTTCCCATGTATTATGTAGTTGTCCTAACTATCAATAAAACAGCATAAAGCAGCAGTAGTTAGAAAATATAGCCTAATATTGACAACTCTCACCAAGCTACTTCTTGTTCGTTCAACTTCAGCAGCCAGTGTATCATTCATTTCATCGGTAGCAGTGACGTCTGGTTCAATATTTCTTGACTTCCGATCACCACTTAACAGAACTTCATTTGATTGCTCAATTTCTGAATATGATTTTCCTCTCATTGCACCTAAATCATCTGTTTGGCGCATATCTTGTGACAATGCCGATTCTTCATCACTAAGTAGTCCTCCCATTGCTTTTTCGCCATCTTCACTATCGGTTATTTCATCTTTATTATTTCCATCAACTTGTTGTATATCGGATGCTACCGAACCTTGTGGTGCAGACACACCACCCACAGGCATAAAATTGCTTGTAAATTCTTGTACTTCAGGAAGAGCACCTGATCGATCTTCCTAAACGGAAAAACTATTATTAAATAAACTATTTGTAGTCAGTCAGTGAGTACCTTTAGTCGTTTTTCTTTAACGGCATTTTTCGTCTCATAAACTGATTTTTTCGTTTGGAATGGTATGCGACGATTTTGTGTTGGATGACGTTTTGTTCGATCGATTCGACAACGAATCTGATAATCGACTGGCAATTCGTCTTCCTTATATTCACGATCGGCAAAAAATACTCGACGAATTCGACAATTGGCATGAATCTAAAAGGAGAAATATGTACGTGTGTTCATTTATTCTAAACATCAAAAACAAAACCAGCAAAGATTCCCTGATCTTTGGTTTCCGGGTAACCCAGAATTGTTTTCGAAAGAGAAGTTGTGAGTGCAACAAGCGTGCACGGTTTAGTGCGTTTTCAATCTTGCCCAAACTTTGTACAAATGTTCTTCTATGTGTACTGCAACAGTAAAATTTTCATAAATGTCTTTTCAAAATCCGCTAGTTTTTCACGTAAAATCAAGTTTTCCCATTTCGGAAGCACTTTAACTCAAAACGAAGGTGATATTTGGAATCAATGCGAAAGACTGTATCGATCTATGTGTTAAACAACACATTTCTAAACAAAACGTTGGTATTGAAAAAATTTCGTCTGAGGTCCCCTCCTCCTCAGGCCTAAATTCGAAAAAAAAAGCTTTTTGCTAGAAGAAAATTTTGAGTCGATAGAGCGTGATTGAAAACGTAGAAAAAGTTCATTGTCAAAGTTATTGAATACACTTCGTACTCATGTCTGTCTGCTAGGCAGAAATTACCCATTGTGTGCGCTTTAGTTATACTGTAAATGAGCTGAATCTGTCAGATTATGTTTTCATACTGTTAATCTAGTACATTCAATATAATCTGTTCCATAAACTGTTTTTGTAAATGAATCCAAATTTAGTGATAACCGATTCCATCCTTCAATCCAATTTAACGGTGAATGTGTACCAAATATGCCAATTTTTGTTCTCGATGCAAAACTACTTATTTTAAATCGTCTATGCATATGTTTACTATCTAAAACTTCAATTTCCATTACAAAATAGCGTCGTAAATTTTTAATATATAAATTTAAATATTGCATTTTAACACCTAAAGATTCTTGTGGGGAACATGGACACGTAATAAATGTGGAGCTAAAAATGGATTCATGTACAAACGGTATTCAATTCACGATGCACTAAAGATTATTGATAAGTGTATACCTGACATTTGTTGATATGAGTTCCAAAACGAGAGAATTAGTGTCTTCATCCGTCACTCTTTTCACATGTCCATTTGATACCCAGAAAAAAAAGCAAGATAAAATAGATAACGTTCTAAACTGCTGATAAAATGTGTACCTTGCATTTCCAAACTTCTAATGGCTTTGCTCCTATACTTGATAGAATAGATAGTAATCCATTTTGGAATGTATTTCGGAACATGATTAATTGAATTGTCACTATCTAGCCATTATATTTCATATTTCACATAGTTGATCACTCTTAAACATTCTGCTACTCTAATTTCATTATGATCTTTCGCATGGAAAGGCGCGAAATATGTGTGCTATTTTTCATGCGCTACCGTAAACTATTAGATTCTTCTTTTAATAATCTAGATTTCTAAGACAATCCAATTTTATATATTTCAATAGTGATACATACAATAGAATAGATCAATTTGAACAATAATAAATCAGTTTTGAATGCGGTGAAGCACATAGTTTCTAGTATTAACAATAGAAGTCTCTCTCATAGGAATATGTGCAATAATTATTCTATTCCTATTTCTGGGATTTGAGGAATACTTGGAAGTACTTACGAATAATATCATGAAAGAAGGATTCATTGCTGTCCTTATACAGTAATGATAGTTATCCTTCAAAAATAGAAAGAAACCCTGTAATTCGAGACAAATGGTAATACATATTGAAGATTATTGATTGAAAGGACACACAAGCACACACACCCATCTATATTTATTTTCTCTCTCTCGATATATGTCCTTGATAAATGACTTTGGGCTGTTTATATTATATTTCAATTTTGATTCTCATTTATGGATATTGTCTTGCAAACAATGATGATTTCAAATCAATCTGAGCGCGTCATTTGTCTCGACTCGGCGTATTTCTTTCATCACAAACTTTACGCGCGAATAGTCTAGTATTTTTATGGTTGCTAACAACACGTTAATATTTCGTTGTATCATATAAACCGTTTTTGAACTATACAAATTTTTAAAGTATAAAAAAGAAAAAGATGTAACAAATCAAAAGTCATTAATTCATACAGGTAAGCGGAAAATTATTTTTTAAATTGATTGCTTATATAGTGTATTGTTATAATAAAATAGTCTGTTTTAAATAGAGTTTGTACCCATGTGATAGAGTGGAAAAGTCTACAATATAGTATATGTTTAAGAAAGTTACACAATTTCTCAACTAAAAATTTAGTAAAAAGATGTAAGTAAAATTAGTAAACAACTTCGAAGAAAACGGTATTAAGTTATTAGTAATAATATCGTTCATATAAGTTTTTTTATCTAAGATGAACATTTTCTATATTTTTGTTATTTGAAACGGAGGGCATTCTCACTCCTGTTTCTTAAAATTTTAAGATTTCTAATACGCTAAGTTAGTTTAAATAAAAGAGTTTGACGAATACAATGGGACACAGTGGTAGTGTAATGTGTTTTTTATTATACACTAAAACTCTGGTAATAAGAAACTTTAAACGAACGTTATAGGGCTGTTATAGAAGAAGAGCTTTGTAATAATGAAGAACTTTCTGCTATTGCCCTACGGCTCTTTGTTTTATTAAACAGTTTATTAGATTAACATTTACAAAACATTGTATTTAATTTCTTTCTCTTTTTTTAAATAAATGTAACAAGCGTGAGTAAAGGCCACGATAATTGTTCTATAACAAGTGTGACAATAATTTGCCTTATAGGTATCTATCTATACAATGACATTGTTTTAGTTTATTTCTCTCTTTCCTCTTCTTGTTCCGTCTTTATATATATATATAGATAGATACGCAAAGAATTATCTAACTCTTATTGAAATAGTCAATATAACTTGTCAAATCGAATAGCCGTAATTAATCTTGTTTTCTCTTAATACATAACGGAAAAGTATCCCCGCGTTATAGATCGAAATAAGTGTGTATGTTTGCGCATTGTTGTTATATTAGAAAGAAAGAGAAAGAGAGAGAGAAAGAGTATACACTGATTGATCCATTATAACTATGTTAGAAAAGAAAGAGAATGAAATGGTTTTAATTGCATGAACGAAATTTGCAAAAGATTGTCTCGTACAACAATATTGTATTTAAGAGACAACCGCGCAATCGTTATGATGATGGTGGTGAAATACAATGTAATATTATGTACAATATAGATTAATAAGAAATGAGATCTCAAGTTTTGTCTTCTTCTTCTTTCATTTGTATATATAATGTTATTGTTGTAAGAAATGTACAAGTACATTCTTCGTTTTATTTTATATCGAAAAGAAATGTTGATCACAGACATCTACTCCTAACTTCTAGCTCGTTAAAAAATAGTGTCGAAAAGAATCTCTTCAATAATAATTATTAGACATTTTAATAGCATTAATTATAAAATGGTTTTATATAAAGGCAAGTATAATTTTATACTATCTCAATCTTTCTAAATTAAAAATAGATTTGATCAGCGTTTGAAAAATTATGATTTCTATTATTAGAGAGGTTACTTCATTCGAAAAAATCTAAAAGATTTAAAAGATTTGTTAAAATTTTTTTGTTCAATTAGTAAAGAACAATACACTCATGGATATTTTTTAAATTAGAAATTTTCATTTTAACATCAATTTTTGTTTAAAGTTCTGTGAAAAGTTTTATGTGAATTTTCATTTATTTTTCTATTTATTTGGTTAAAAATAGAACAGACATTATTCTATTGTGGTATTTTTATTTTAAAAAAAAGAAAGAAAATACTGGTATGACCACGGTTTTTTTCGAAACAAAATATCCATAGTTTCTTTGTATAATTTTATGAATGGTTTTCCTTCTGTTTTTTTTTTGCTATAATCGACATACAAATTTTTGCACTACATTTATCAATTTTAAAAAGAAAAAATTTTTCATTTTGTTTTGTTGTTATTAAGAAACAGTGTCTTTTCATCTTAAAAATCTAAAGTTATTTTCAGTTCTCATAATAATGATTTTGTCTTGAAATCAGCCGGAACAGAATAAAAAAGAAAAACTAGTTCCGCAGTTGAGCATCAGAGAAAAAAGAAAACATACATGTGTTTTATTGTCACGAATAGCCAGCAAATGATATTAGAGGTAACACTTCAAACATGAACTTTTAGTTTGTATGTCACAATTGTATCTGATGGCGTTCTGCTGTTATAGTGTATCGCTACTTCACCCAAACTTTAGAGAAAACTGACCTCACTGAGAATCACAGAATATATCGATCGATAGCTGATCAATTTTTATTAATAAACGTGTTAAAAATCTATTCTTATTGAGAAGATTAGCTGTATGATACGTGTAATAAGCTATGATGAATCTTAAACGAAAAAAATGAAATATCTTTCCTTGATATCGAAATTCAATTTAAAGAATTTCTTCCATTTTATTCATTTGTGATATACTATGAATCTTTTTACCTCACACTAAAAAAACTTTTTTTTTATAAAAAAAATAACTTCTATACTCTATATTTTATTGCAATGTGAATTTTCATCAAGCTTTTATTTTTTCTTTTTTTGTAGGGTTATTGAAGCAACAGAAAATTGAAAGAGATAACCTAAAAGAAAAACTGAAGGCGTTCCTAATCAAGTATGAGTGTTGCAGTTTAATGATTTGTTTCCGAAAGATCGATTATACCATTTTCTTTTATTATCGAAATTTTAAGAAAAAAAAAATTTGAGATGAAAGAAAAAATATGAGAAGTGTATATTTTTTAATTTATTTTATGAAAAAAACACGGAACTATAGTAGACTAGCTAGTAATGATTATTGAGTTGAAGAACGCCTCCGTAATATTTTCCTTGATGAGGAACAAAAAAAAAAACAAGAGACGATCGATCAAGAAAAACGTAATATAGTTCCGAATAATAAAAAGGAAAAGAAAAAGAGAGAGAGATAGAGCATGCTTTAGTTCTCTAAAGTAGGCGTTTTTATAGAACATGTGTTCATGGTTCCCGTACGAGAAATTATTATTTTATTCTTTCTTTTTTTTCTCTTGGAATTTAAGTTTTCCTTGTCGCACACAAGCAAAACACAGAACAGTGGTGATAAAAAAGAAAAAGAATATCGTTTTTTCCTAGTACTGATTACTTTGTGGTAGGCGTTGTCCTTCAATGCCTGTGTGCATTTTTTTTTTTTTTTTTTTATTTTGAAAAACATTACGTTTTTTTTTTTTCAACAATAACGGCTGCTACCAGACTGCTCGATCCGCTCAAATCCTTTCTTTATTTCTGTTAACAAAGAAAGGAAAAGAAGAGGAGGAAAAAAATCTTTTTTATCGTTGTTTCCAAACTTACACGCAGAAACCAACTCTAGTTTTTCTTCTTTTTTTTTTTTTATATATTATTTGAAAAAAGTTATAATGGTTGCGTGTGCGCCAACGAAGAAAACAGGATAGTGGATGACAAAAAATATATAGAATGTGCCCACGATCTTCTCCTATTCATTCATTGTGTTTGTTTGTAATTAGAAAATTTTTTTATTGTTGATATCTCTTTCGTTTTATACATCGTTGTTTAAAAACAGAAAAAAAAATCGAATAGTCATACGAGTACATAATTGATTTCATTTAGAATTAAAAAACATTTTTACTTTGACGAAGAATTTATTCGATCAATCGATGCTGGTATGTCTAAACGTTTTCTAAACTCAGAGATTCGAATGACAGATGAAAGTAGAATAGTTCAATATAGAAAAATCTTATATTAGAAAATGCTAATATTTATGAGTGAACATAATGCCCGATCTTGATATATTGATTAGAATCGAAAAAGAATATAACTATTTGTCTTCTAAGTTGAAAATTTAGTTATTTTCATCCACATGAATTTTTCTCATTTTAATAATAATGTCAAGTCTCAGATATTATAGCAAATTTTGAAGAATACTGAAATATACTTTTGATCTCATTCATACATCCCGAAAACTCGTTAAAAATCATATGTGTTGTAATCGAACATCACGAACTCTCATGTTATAAGTTCTATTTGAGAGTGAGCAGTTTGTTTTTTGTTTTCAAAAAAAAAGTTGACAAAGTTCTTTGCATTTGAGAATTGGTTACTAATTCGATAAGAAATTCTTTTATTTATAAATATTCGAATAGTGTGTAAGTTATCAAACGATAGTTGTGATTAACGTTAGAACATTGTGTAAGGTTGTTGTAGTAATGAACTAAACACTTCAGTTATAAGAGTGTGGGCTGACACAAAAAATTTGCCTTTTTATGCTTTTTATTCTGACAAAGAAGAGCAATATGTTGCAGATACGTTTTTATTCTAAATAACTTCATAACAGCTGTGCCCATTATTGATGGATAAGAAGGTATTCTACAATATTCGCATCTTTTATGTTGTTAAATGAATTTTTACTAAATAGGCGCGCATATTCTAATTTCATATGAGAAAAAATAAGGTCAATTTTCGCTGTATCTCTTTTCTCTATTATGATATGTTATGAAATTTTAAAATGAAATTTAATATATAATAAATAATAACCAGGAAAATATAAAAACTATATGACATAAATAGTAGAAAACTGGCAGTGGGACAACAACACAAAAAAAAAAAAAACATCTCGAGAAATGAAGAATAAATTTGTTTAACAATAAAAACTACTCAAGATTTTTCTGACCGTAATGGATTCTTTATTAGCATACATGATGATTATCTAAAGTAAGTTTTGTATCTTTTACTTATTGTAGTTCGACAGACAGAGTGCCAGAAAAAAAATAGAAAAATAGAAAACACGCAAAAAAGCAATTTTTTTTCCATTTGAACGTTGTCAATTAGTAAAATATCTACCGGAATCTACCCACTTCTTATGCAAAAGATCAAACGTGACTGCATTTCTTGAATTGACTTAAAATTATTTCTGGTCAATATGGTTATCATAAAAAAAGAAGCAAAATTTATGCAAATGTGACATTGAAGGATACGAGAAGAAAGAAAAACCTAAAAACTATAATCAAAATAGAAATATAATAATGTAGTAATCATCACTAGATCTAAGGGTGTTGCTTCAATATCGTTTAGTGTATTTTCATTGATCGATTGACTATAGTCAAATTTTTAAGAATATGAAGAAATATGAACAATGAGAGGAAAGAGACAGTAACCTAAATTTAAAACAAGGAGAATTAGAGTTATCAGCCTAATCTTTAAGAATTAGTCTACTAGCTAATGTTTGATCTTTAATAAACTTATCTAATGCAAGAGTAGGATGAATCTATAATCAATGGTAGTATAGATGAAAATGTAAATAAAACAGGTACAATAGATTCGAGTATTTTTCGACAACTAGAAACAACACGATTAATGTGACAGTTTGTTATGTTAGATCGTGAGTTGATTCTACACAGAGAAATATTAGAAATTTAACATGCTCAATAGTAGTTTTACTAACTGATAAAGACATAGAAAAATTACATTACATTAGCCGTACATTGAATTCGCAGCAAGTTTTTCAATCTTACCAGAAACAGTCAGGCATATTAAATCATCATTGAATAAAGACGTTAACGATGAGAAAGTTATAAATTGTAGAAGATCATTTAAGAGAATAAGATAGGAAGCAGAACCTAAGATCAATCTTTGCAATATTCCAGTGGTCGACACCAGATTTAGCAAGTATATTAGTTTTTCATACGACTCAAATATTACAAATACTGCTAAGACATATTCTCGTTTTGTCCTGACAATGATACATGAAACGGTCTCCAAATGTTTATTCATATATTCTTTCGTGTGTGTTTTCCTTATATCTCCAACTAGCAGCCCACAATAAGAGAGTTATAAAAGAAAATAATATTTGTAATTAGATTGCACTCAGTTATTTTTCACTATACATACAGATTCTTTCCGTATGGTGGACAACCACGCGACAAACATTAGCTGTGCATTAGCTGTGGAATTTAGACTTAAGAGGGAATATCTAAACATTTAGAACAGGTAGTTCTGCGTTTATACTGTAGTTCTTGTTGAAAATAAGTGCTCACTGTAGGGTGCTACTAGTAACTTGAATGGGTCGGTTGGCAACGTTCGAATAAAACTGGAATCATTGACTGGTCAAGAAAACCATAAGAATTTGTTGATAAATCACCAACCGAGAGAGTCTATACAATAAAACTGTGTAGTTCGAAATCATTCGAGTTTTAGGTAGTCGAAAATCATATTTTTTTCTAATATCGAGCCCTTTTTTAATTTACTTTTTGGGCAAATTCAATTTTCTCATCTTACATATACCACATTATACGATATAAGCTACTAAAGACGAAGTTACGTGATATATTTCACCAGCTCAGCCACTTACAAACATACGTCCAGGAGCACTTCTTCTTTGCCTACTACGATCGCTTATCATCAACTTGTTATACCAGAGAACGACTGAATATATTGATAGTGTTAAAGTATTTGAACATCGTTGAACTCTCTATAAACTAGTAGTGTGTGCGATCCACTGCAGAACTGGAAAATTCGAGTAGCTTTTGATCGTCTGATTTCATCTCAATCTTCACCTATAAGGACCAATCTTGACACATTTATGTGTTTGCCAGCCTTAAAAAGCAACCCAGTCAATTCCACATGAGCAAAAAAAACATTATGGCAGGAATTCAGATGTATGCAAAACATGGTTCCGTAGATTTCTCGTGTTCATTGTTTTTACCATCTTTGTCCCCATGTTTCTTCAGATATTAAGCTAACAAGCAAAGAAAATAAAAAATAATATCATCGTCATAGTTTTGATTTAAGAGAGGCTGCACACGTTTTTATCTCGCCTACGCGAAAAGGAGACAGATGATGACTGAATGCATTTCATCTTTTAGAAATCACTTATTAAACCGTGTCAACCTTTACGCAAGCACATGCTTAAGTTTTTTGGTTCCATTTAAGCAAACTGCTTTTCTTTTTCTTTTTTATTTTATGTGTATATTTCTAATCATCTGTTGGTAGATTAAAAAGGCCATCTTTTGGCTTTGACTATATATTTAGGAGAATAAAGAAGAACAGCATATTATTTTTTTTCTGAGGATTATAAAAAGAAAAGTAAAAATATTAAAAAAACAACAGAAGAATGAGGTTTAGCCCCACTATACACCCCAAATAATAACAATATCAACAACAACGTTTCATATTTTTTGATGTCTAATATGAAAAACGCATTATGATTAAAACGATGTAGATAAAGAATCGATTACTTCCACTTTCTTGTTTTGCTGCAAAAAGAAAAAAATATCTAACATTAAATGAATTTCTTTATTTTTTTTTCTATCTTTGTCGATCTATTTTATCATTGGATCAAAATGAAAACGCACAGGTTCATGTATCAAACGAGAGAAGTGATATCATTTAGCAGACAACAATTTGTTTCTCATTTGTAGATAGTAGCTATAGTGAATAAATTTACTTAAAAAGTAAAAGCAATATGTGAATTTATTAACTATTTTCATATAACTATAATAATTGATTCATACACGTTTTGATAGTTGACAATCAGACTTTATTTTTATAAGTCAGCATTCAAAGTTTATAAAGGTTGATTTAAACTAAATCAACTCTAAACATTTTGTTGAAAGTTAGATATATATATATATATATATCATCTTTCTAACGTCAAATACCATTGAAGTATTCATTATCGTCATCACATATATCATTTTTTCTTTGTTTTATATTTAGATTGAAGACCAAAAGTTATAAAGGTCAATTAATTAATTGTAAATTTTAAATATTAGATAAAAATTATGCAATTCGAAGTATCTGTAGCATTAAACTTTGTTATTGGTTATCTTTATAACAAATTACCACGTCGGTATGTTGTAAATATTGACTAATTTAACTTAAAATAAAATATAATTTGATGCATATTATAATTATTTTTTAGTCGTGTTAACATGTTAGGAGAAGAAATTGAAAAACATTTACGAATGAAATTTCAAGAACATTGGTATCCGGAAAGACCAACGAAAGGTAGTGCCTATCGATCATTACGTATTAGTAAAGAAAAAGTGGATAAAGTATTGATTAATGCCGCTATCGATTGTGGACTCGATTTACAAGAAATATTAGACGCATTACCAAATGATTTAACTATCTGGATAGATCCTGGAGAGGTGTCATATCGAATTGGAGAAAAAGGACCAGGTAAGTGAAACTTCACCAATAAATAGAAGAAAAATATTGATTTCGCTCTATGAGTAGTTTTGTTTATGTTTCAGTGAAGATCCTGTATGAAGATGAAAGGCGTTTAATTCGAAAAAATAAACATGATACAAATAATAAAGATAGTTTGAATAGTGAATCATCAAGTGATAGCGAAGATAGAGATGGATCCATATTTAATAAAGGTAATATTGTAATTTCAATTTTTTAACATGATCCATATAAATTTTTTCAATTCTTTTAGCATCTGATATTCTCATTAAACCGTTTAATCTTGACGCACAAGTATTTCGTCCAATTGTTGATGATGAGAATCAATTATCAACATCCATTGGTAGTTTGATTAGTTTATCACCATCGTCGCCACCTACAGTTCTTAGCAGCGTATTAGCATCATCAACTGGTTCATCCTCATCTGGTAGTAGTATGAACAGTAGCAGTACTATGAACAATAAATGTTCACGTTCACCAAATAATTTACTTCTTCCAACTGTATCATCTCCTACCATCACTTCTAGCAATAATAATCTTAATACGACAACACCAACACCAACACCACCAATAACAACAACTAATAATAATAATGGAGCATTTTTAAATAAAACAGCAAGTACACCAATGTAAGCTTAATTAACATAATGATATATGATAGCCAGTCTCGAGCGTATATAATAATTTCTTTGCTTTTTAGGTTTATTTCTCCAGCAACATTTGCTCAAACAAAATTTGGTTCATTAAAGTCAAAACATGCCAGTAAAAAATGTCAACGTATGTTACCGAGTGAATTTTCGGCGTATATTAAACAAAAAGAACAGTTGCAGCGTAATGTACAATTACAACCATCTCCACCATCGTCAAAAAACGAATTTACTCCCTCACTTGTTGATAACAGTAATCATATGACGCCAAATTCCCCTTCGCATACTACATTTTTATCCCAATCATCGCTAATACAACATACGACACCTTCACTAATGATAAGTCCGATACATTCACAGTTGTCACCTACAAGACTACATCCTCATCAATTAACGATTTCATCACAAAATAGTTTTCCAATGCAACACCATCCTGTATTTAACGCCAACAATAATTCATATTTTACTCCCCATAACGTGATGCCTGTTGCTCCCGCTTCATTAGCAATTTCTCCGCCAACGTCATCGGTATTCGGCGCACATAGACCCTTTTCGAATTGTAGTAGTGGTGGAGGTAATGGCATCTTTGGAGCCTTGCCAAGACCCAATTCATTGCCACTGAAAAATGTGCCTTCACCATCGTCAACAGGAACACCTGGCACAAATAATTTATTTGGAAATAACAGTGGTGGTAGCCAAGGATCATCATTCTCTCCACTTATTTTATCATCACCATCAGAAAATAGTACCAAAAATACTATAAATAATACAAAAGGTCAGTATACTTTGACTCCATTTGTATTGGCCAATTAAACAAGAATAATATTCAATAATATATTCTTTAAAAAAATTTCTCTGTTTCTGTTAAAACGAGTTTATTTTGAGTGAACATGGAATTCCAAAATAAAAGACATCCTTTTACCACGATGGTGGTATGTTCGACGAATAGAAAAATTAGAATGAGTAAAGTTAAGCGTCTAGAATAGAATGGAAATAATTGCCTTTTTCTGTTTCTAATTTGCATTCACTTTACTTTTAATGTATATTTTGTTGTTGTTCATTTACTTCTTTTTTTAATTTGTTTTAAACTTTGGTTACGGTTCTTTTGTACTTTTTACCTTCGTATTTATTGTTTATTTATAACCAAAACATAACAGTTCTATCGAGTTTTACTCCTATGAGAAAACTTCATCATTCTCGTTTTGTTTGTTTATTTATTTATTTATTTATTTATTTATTTATTTATTTATTAATTAGTTCTTGTTCTGCATAATTATGACTCTGTATGGCTCTAAATCAAATCATAAACATTCCGAAATTATCCTATTATGTTATTGAATTCCATCTCAACCTTTAAAATCCGTTTTCCCATGTGATTAGACTTCATGCGTCTTCACTTTTACAACTTTAAATATTCATCCATTTTCTCCCTCAGTTTCTCCATATTCGTCTCCTACTTAATTTTGTACATATGTATCTATATATTCATTAATCATTTATATATATCAAGTGAAAATTCGAAAACGAAAGTTTTGTAATATCGATTATCTTTTTAAAAATTTCTGTCAGAAATTGGTGAAAATTTTTTTTTTGTTCTCTATGTTCTTTTAAAAAATTTCTTTATGCAGACCATTTCAAATAATTTTTGTTTTTTTTTTGCTTTGTCTATAACATATTTTCTCTTTTCATGTATATAGTTGATAAAACAAGTGAAAATTTACAGGGCTTAATATCTACGTATGTATGCGTGCGTGTGCGTGTGTGTGTGTGTGTGTGTGTGTGTGTGTACGTGCATGTATCTGTGTCAGAGTGTATCCTCTCGTTTCTATCTCAGTTGGGAAAACGCTCATTTGACCATGGTAATTTGATTAAAACATTATACCTAATTTTCTTTCATCGTATAACTTATAGACGTTAGGTAATGTTCAATAATAGCTAAAACCATCTTTGTTCAAATGTTTGCGATCAATTTTTATTTTATATAAGCTTTAAATAATCATTTATTTTCTATTATTGTTGTTATGTTTCATTACATTCTTCCATAAATGCCGGTTTTTCTATAAATATAATATATAAGCCAATAGCAGTTATAATCGACTATTTAATTTATTCTCCTCATTTTTCTGTTGTTTAATATTATTATTTTTACCTGTAGAAGAACAACAGTTTATGTTAGTTATATCCCACCAAAATAAACTATCTTCTTTTCCCAGTGTAACAGAAATTATATCTTTATTTTATTCTTTTTTTGATACGTGCAATAAACTTGATCATTTTTTCATTTCCTTTTTCAAGTTTAAGTTGAATTAGAAATGCGTACACTCGACTTTTGAGTATGCTTATGACTACTACTCAATTATCAATTATCAATGTTCTATGTTTCCGAATATATTCCACATTTATTTTTAGTGTTTTTATCATATTTTGTTTGTTTTTTTAACTTTTCTTTTCACGCCTTCTTTGAGTAGGAAGAAGAGTAGAAAAAAAGATCTTTCTGTTTTCACGAAATAACGTATGGATGTTTGTTTGTGTGTCTATGTATGTTTATCTGTCTCTATTGTACTCTACTACATATAAAGAATGTTTTATATAATTTAAAGAAAAAAGGATTTATTTTTAAGTTTGTAATAAAATTTGTTTGAAATATGTTTAAAAAAAAAGATTATCTCGGATCAATATTTTACTCTGAATCATCACTTTTTCTAGCTTTCGATGTGGACGCAAACTAACTTTAGAGACAAATATTATCATAAAATAACGTGACTAATAAATTCCAAAGACACTGATTGTCTTTTCTCTGAATAAATATATGACGTGTAAAATACGAACAAAAATCAAAAAGCGGTATGTTTTTATTGAAAAGGCACATATGCAAATAAATGGAAAGAAGAGAAAAATCAGTTCTAAAAAAAATTGTTTATATAAAAATTAGACTTTTAAATCGTTCCTAGAGAATGTCTGCATTGTCTTATGTTTTGAAGAAAGCTGAAATTTGTTCAAGACATTTACAGAATCTTTTTCTTCAACTTAATGAATTTGTTGCTCAGATTCGTTTGAGAAAATCTTGTTCTAGAGCTAGGTAGAATTTATCTTAGAGCCTGACTCTGTCGCAGCTTGAAATATCTTTAAAAAGATATTTTCTGAAATTAGCAAAATTACCTTGTTTTTTCTATTACAATTTTGTTTTGCTGTTTCCATTCATTTATAAGAAATATGTTCTTTATGAGAAATACTAAAAGATTTTTGAAGTTCAATTTACACATGGTGTTAGAATACATGTCTGTTCATGTAGTTTAAACAGGTATAATACTGTTTCTACGATGTTCTATAGCTGACAGCCCTTGTACTTTTTGTACAGTAATGTAAAGCTTGAATCACAGTAGCACGATAAAGAATATAATTCAAGATTTTGTACTGGAATCAGAAATCTATCAAGATTTCAGCTAATTCCAATCCATTGTATTATTCATGAATTTTCCCAAATCCAGTCAAAATTTGATCCCAGTTTGTTCAAGACAGAACCTACGCCAAAAGTCATGATCAGCAGTATTATCATCTTAAAACATTATTAGATGTTGATAAATATGCATAAGATTTTATATTAACTTAGTAGAATTTAGGAAAACTTTAAAGTTTTATCAAGATCTGAATTTTTATCTAGGATGCATTGGGTTGCTTCGACATTTTGAAATAGACAGGATATTGATTCTTAATTACAATAATAACGGTTAATTTTTGAAAATTGAATAAAACAATATTCGTCATAGCGATTTACAAGAACATGCAAATTATGATTTATACGCTTATAGTTTTTAAGGAAGCTGAATTAATATATATTTATGAATTTTCAAATGATTATAGATCGAATGTTAGAGTATGTGTTACCATTACATATCTCGTAACTAAAAAACTCGACGTCACTTCCATAACATCCCAACCGTAATCATATGCCTGTTCTTCCCAAAAAGGATAAAAACACGTTCACTAGGTGGCGTTTTTAAGTGTTTGCGCTTTTTGAAAAAAGACATCGAACGGTACATGACTACCGGCATGTGTTAACCAGAAGTGTGCAACTCTGGCATGTTCAGTTCCAATTCCAATCTAATTAAAATCCGTCTAGAAGTCTATCAATGGTTCGTTTTGATACCTTATTCCCAAAGCAAGTAATCACTTTATAGATTTTGTTACGCCAGATATCGGTTCAACATGGGATGCATACGCGTTTCGAGCCACTGCTCGCACATGATTAGATGCATAGAGGAAACTTTAAAGCTACTCACTTGTATGCACCATTAAGACTTCAAGGGAGAGTTCTGGGAAACACGTTAAAACAGGAATACGCTACAATCACCCAGGTGAAATTTAGAACCTTTCAGATGGTAAAATGGCGAAGGAAAAAAATATCGCGGTCACATGCAGAAGCGATAAGATACCCCATACAGTCAATCTTTGATAAAAAGTTCATCTCTTACCTATCTCTCGAATATTTGATCTCAAGTTAGTGTTAAATTAATCCATTTTACTTAACTCTAGTACACCCCCCTAAGCTTCGCTCTGACTCTAGCCAGTTTCATTTGAATGCTGTTTGTACACAATACGCACCTGGAATTTATCTTTTCATTTATGTTTCAGTGAGTGGCAATAGAGTACGTTAATAAAGTCAAACAGTCACATACAGTGGTTGTTGATCTGAGCGACCAGCCCAAATTACATATAAATGTTTCTGTATGGTCTGGGACTCGTGCGGACCCCATATAGGAATACGAGGGTTAAACTTGGGAAAACTCGTTTTTTTTCTGATGTAAAACACTTGCTGAGAACTAAAATCTGGAGCAGAATTTCAAAAGTATTTTTAGACCACGCTATAAACTTGTTTACATGCAGAAACATGTTTTAAGAAGAAAGTAAAACTGATAATGAACACTTTTTTAAAAATTTTTCACTCAAAGAAGAAAATGAATGTTGTAGGCGCAAAAATTGTTGTATGTTTATGGAGTACAGAAAAGCTCAAGGCTTGAATTGACCCGAAATAATGAAAGTCACCGAAATAATTTGGTGACTCGATCTTCAGTGGCGGTCACCCATCAACTTACCAATCGTCGTCCTAACGCTTAACCAGAGAAAAGACAAATTCATTGGCACAGTTTCTGAACATCGAAATGGAAAGAGTTCTGGTTCAAATCCACGATTGTACTTTGCTGTTGTCTCTTTTGATCTTTAGACGTCTATTAACAGTAGCTTGAACTTTAAATGAAAGAGAAAAATAGAAAAAAAGTCTTTGACATGAAAAAAGTTCCGTCTCAGTTGAACTCAACTTTAACTTTAACTAGGAATCCCTTGTCAAAGACCCTAGACACTATGATTATACACAATAGGACTCTTATGTTATACTCAGTCAAAATTCTGAGCACATGTCGATAATAGGCATGCATTATTGGACGAAATAAACCTAAAATTAGGCACAGAAATTAAGACATTGTAAAAGAATAATCTATAGCACCACCGATGTCGGATATATCATCCTCGTCTATCATGCTGGTGATAGTATGAGTATTGGATCACTTATATCGTGGTTCTACATTTCCGAGAGCTGAAGCAATACTGATATTCGAGCGAATTTGTTCAATACTTCTTCTAGTTGAGGGCAATGTCAAACGTTGAACAAGATTATCTCTCAACGTTTTTCTTCGTTCATCGTCTACTGTTGCATTGTGTACTTTTGTTGGAGGATAATGAGACGGAAATAAATCGTTCATATGTTGTTGTTGCATCATTAGCATTGGCTGATTACTAGTGCTTGTGACCGACTGAAATGTCTTGGCACTAGCTTGAGAAAAGAGACCGACACTACCGCGTTTTTGACCTGCTGAAAGATACCGTTGTTTAATGACAGATAAACGTCGCGGTCGCAATGTTGCTCGTTTCCATCGTACAATCGCATAACCTAATACTGCCAAAACTAGAACACTAACGAGCACAACAACAACAATGAGCACGATGTGTGACCCACCCGCCGTCGTTGAATCATCTAACAGCGCTGAAGCTAAGATAGAGTCGAGATACGTATTAAACGTTTTTTATCTATACCAAGAGCTCTACAAATGGCTTACTTCCTGTACACAGCTTGACATCTACACTGAGTCCCGTACAGTTAACGGCACATATTCGTTTGACGTGAGGCTCACAAGCCCGTATTCGTGTACGATTTCCAACGCACGATGCTACCACAGGTAACCAGATAGACCAGATTGACCACTGGCACACAATGGGTGATGCGGTTGGTGTTATTAATGCTACAAGTTGAGTCAGAGACATTTCAGTTGTGTGAGGCTGTTCACTTGTGGTTATTATTATCGAGGGTAATAATAATGTTATTGTGCTTGTTTCCGTAGAAATGTCACGTATTACTATTGTCTTTGTGACTATGAAAAAAATTTAGCTATTACCATCATTAATAACACTTATAGAAAATATCAGATTACGTTTGATTCGTCGAATGAACGTTAGCAGTTAGTCTCACAGAGTACAGATTGTCCGCCCTTGAAGAGCGTAAAGTACACTACTTATATAGACATATGCTTTCTCAGCAATTCTGTATTTAAATATGTAAAGGATTCGAAATTTCCATCATGAGTCACAGGATTTTCATGCGCAAGAGTGTCTCTTTACGAGTAATGCAAATTAGTCGACTCAACATCGTGGGAATACTAACGTTAAGACGTTGCTTTGAACTGCAGAGTACTCTTGTAGCCGATTGTTCATATCTTCCAGAATTACTTACGGTTGCATGCTGAAAAATGTAATATCATTAGAAAGATGAAGATTGATAAGTTTGAATACATTGCTGACCAATGTGCAATGATGTAATTATTTATGATATTAAACTGATAATTTAAACTATTTTGTATCAA